TTTTTACCCATATAAATCAGTGGCAAAAGCCACTTTTCATGGAAAAACAGCAGTTTTAGAAACTCAGTGTGTTTTACATTTACCTTCTTGCGTTAGACCAAGAAATGGAGGAAAGTACTGCGTTGGCCGCAGGATGAAATTTCGGTCATGTAATACTGATTCATGTCCAAAAGGCAAAAAAGATTTCCGGGAGCAACAGTGCTCTGAATTTGATGGCAAACACTTTAATATCAACGGTCTTACATCTGCTGTTCGCTGGCTTCCAAAATACAGTGGTAGTAAGTAATTATAATTTTTTTCAATTAATGAAATAAAAATGTTTCTTTAATTAAAGTTTTAAAACAGACAAGAAACCTGTTGGATTTTCTTTCCAGTTTCTATGAAAGATCGCTGTAAACTTTTTTGCCGAGTTTCTGGAACAACTTCCTACTATCAGCTGAAGGACAGAGTTGCTGATGGTACTCCCTGTGGAGCAGAAACCAATGACCTTTGTGTTCAAGGCTTATGCAGGGTATTTAAATCTAAACTTATTAATTATTAAAATAAATTTTAACAGATGGTAAAGTAGATATTAAATATTAATCCAAATAACCATTACTGAAAATATGTAAAGCAAAGTGTTTTTAATTTACTTAAATTAATTTTAATCCCTACCAAATTAAAGATTTGGAAATGGAGGCAATTAAATGAAGAACATACAGTTGAATCTGAAGACCCGCAGTCTTTCCTCATTAAGCCTCATATGTTAAAGAGTTAATATTGTCCAAGTGAGCAGAGAGAAACTAATGCAAAATTGGAATAAAGGGAGGAAAGAAGCATGCTGTGTGTTTATTGCTGTCATGTTTCTGCTGTCAAAGAAGTAAAAAAGTAGAAAATCCAAGGATAGATAGATCACGTATTTATTATTTCATTGCAAAATCAGGAGGAACTGACCCTTGAAAGGGATCGTTTCAGCATTCTTTGCTTAATAGCAATTATGGAAGTGCCAGAAGATTTTGTGAGGAGAAGCAAGGTTATAACAACTCAAGACTTTTTCATCAAGCCCAGGTTGTTTTGCTGATTGCAGTGAAACTGAATGAATTCAGGAAGAGGAGAAAGTATAGCCTTTTTTATAGTGATGAATCAAGAGGAAAGAGGAAAAGCCAGACAATTTTCCTGTATATCATAATTTAAAAAAAGGAAGTTTAAGTAAAGATACCTAAACAAAAACTGTACTTAACCTAGTTTAACCAGCATAGTCTACGTGTATTCCTTTGCTTCTTTTGCAATAATGACAGACTTTAAAAGATTTGATGACCCTGTACGCATGCACACTGCTTTTAGGATTCCAAGGCTTTTTAATGTAAATATAACTTTATACACTATGTTGATTTTTTTTTTAATACAAAGTCTTTACATACTGTTATGTATTCTTATACAGTTCTTGACATACTAAGTGTATTTGGATTGTACATTCTTAGTACAACAGCACTATTGTGTTTTGCCCTGACATCACAGCTCCCAAAAACATAAAAGGCTTTTCATGAATTGCCAAGGAAGACCAGATATATACAGTGAATAAGAATATTTTTGGGGAGTGGGAAGCTTACATTGTTTGTTTTCATTGTTTTCTATTGGGCTGAGTGACACAGGGATATTGTATTCTTTTGTAGCAAGCAGGCTGTGATCACGTTTTGAATTCCAAGGCAAGGAGAGACAAATGTGGAATCTGTGGTGGTGATAATTCTTCATGTAAAACTCTTGCAGGTACTTTCAACAGTGCTCGTTATGGTATGTTTGTTTGTTTTGGTTTTTTTAAATCTTAATGCACATGTCAGTATAGTTTAGAAATTATGTTTTACATTTGAGGAAGTGGGATTTCAGTGTATGTTCTTTAGGGCATCTGTCAACAAAAAATATCTGATTTTCAGTCACACGTGCCCTTTGAAGGATGCAGAGACAAACACTGTGACATGCTAACCCATTCAAGGGTAAAAAAATCAACCTACTCTAAGGTCAAAGCAAAAGACACAAATAAAAGATACAATGAGGGTAAAAGTACTTTTAAAGGAAGAATGCTTCCTGCTTTGCGCTTTGCATTCTCTCCCCTGAAACTATGCAGCTGAAGGACTTACTCCAACGTCTCCTTTTGGTTGTGTAGAGATAGCAAGAAGTCTGTGGTGTGAGCAGCTGATGAGGTTCCTTTTTTCCTATAGTGAAAAAGATAGTCTGCGAAATGTGAGCCTTATCTTTCCAGAGAATATGGGCAGCAACATTTGTTTTTTCCTCTTCATTGGCATGTAGTGAATGAGAAACTTCTGAATAATCTTGGTAATTTCTATGTCTTTGATTTAGTTTCTCTAATAGAGCTATTGATAGTTCTTCTATACTTTCTGGGAAGTATGGAGAGACTATTGTATGTGTGTAGCAGTGCAGTTAAGTAGTTAGAGCGTAGAACATAGGGACAGAAGTCTCCAGGTTAATATCAGATTCCTAAAGGCTCCTTCATGCCGCTTCACTGGTTGAAAGAGACCACAGGCGAAGTGAAAATGATACCTGGAGAGCTGCCAAATAGGATCTTCATAGAACAAAGGAATTGCTGGTTAAAGAGGAATGTATGCCCTGTATCCTGTTGGATATTTTTTTTTTTCCTGGCAGAGGGCTTGCGCCAAGGAAAAGTACCAAAAAACTTGAAGGTGGGATACAGCTACCCTTCTGATACAAATACGTGTAACTTTTGTTGTGTCCTGAGAAGTTGGAAGAAGACACAATCAGCTATTAGAGACTGGATTTCTGAACATGTGGTCACAACACTGAAGGAAAAGAATGTATTATTTTGATAATTCTGAGTAAAGGACTGTCAGTGGTTTTGTTTTCCACCAGTATGAAAGATCTTTTTACTTATAGGTAGCACATGAATTCTGTCACAAATATGTTTGATACAAGTGACCTGAAGCTGCCATTTATACAAGTATGATTGAGACTGTTGTTCTCTGCTGTTTATCAGCTTTGCATTGTCACTATTTGCTTCTAAGTAAAGCTGGAGGGAAAAAAGCCCAATACGTTTTGGGATGGGGAAAACCTTGATTTATTATTTCGGTTTTATACTTAGTTGAATGTTTTAAATTATGTTTGAATTCTTGGAATTACAACATATAAAAGATGATCTGAATTATACTGCTGGACATTATGCTAAACATATTTGGGATTATCACTCAGGTGTGCTCAAGTAGGAGTGCAGCAATGCAAAGAGATTGTAGCTAGCTGATCACTAAAACTTCAGTACTTATGGGAGGCCTATAGCATCTGTAGGCTAATGGCTGAAAACATTGTCTGAGGAAATGTTCTTTTTCCAAAAAACTTGTGAATTAGGATCACAAGATAAGTATGCCAAAGTTGGTGCACTGAATCTTTTTCTTTTAATTTCACCTGGTCTCCTTCCACACTGACACTAAGGCAGAATTTGAAATTAGACAAAAGCAGCCTGTGGAGTGTGCTTCTATTCATGCAGTGATAGTGGTGTCACCAAGTGTTTAAACAGTTGTGAAACAACCATCAGAAATTCATTACAGTGAAATACTAATTTATTTAGCTCCCAGTGTAGGAAGTGTTAGTGTAATTATGTACACATAATTATTATGTAGACTATTATTATTGCATCAAATTAGAGTGTCTGAGGATTTCCTGGAAAATGGTCATTTTCAGTGTGTTAGTACATGATCTATTCTCCTGTGTGTCCTTGACAACGTGCTCTGCAGTTTTGTTTATAGTTTCCTTTCATATTTTGTCTTCTGTCATTCCTTTACCACAAGATCTTCAGTCTGTGAGATGAGGGGCTTTTTTGAGTGTGCTTTGCTTTTCTTCCCAATATGTTGGAAGATTGCAGTGTATTTTTATCCAGAGCATGCAGCGTGTTAATTTGCAATTGCAGTGCTGCCCCCAGCTGGTAAATGTGATGGACCTGTGATTAGATTAAATCTTCATTTAAATGCATGGCATAGTTTTAATAGATTAAAAGCACTGGGAAATTAATGAATTACGAAATTGAAAAGGATATTGCCATTTAAATTTTTATCCATAGAGGTGAGTCAGCTAACTAAAGTTAGATCACAGCAAGACTGTTAAACACAGCAAAATCAGTGGAAAAGTTAGCAAAGATTTTATTAATGATTCGGATTACATGTTTGTGTTTATTATGTTCCCAATGTTTACCATACTCAGCTTTTCTTAGACATAAGAATCCCTTTGAATTTGTGATTAGCATCTGTGAGAAACAGCTTTTGGGGTTTTTTTTGTTAACTTATGCTTAGGTGCAGAGCAACAGTTATGAAAAATAGATCTTGATGCACCTTATTTTGCTACCTTATGATGAGGCTATGATAATAGTAGTTGGAGGTATTACAGGAAACAATGACTCATTTGTGAAGTGTTTGTATTTTGAAGTGAGCAGGGTGGGGTAAGATTTTAAGTAGCAGAATGTGGATCAAGCATGGCTAGTTAATCTGATACATCTAGCTATGTATATAGCAACACTGCAATATTTGGGTATTTAGGACTTGTTCTTCAGAGTGCTGTCATGCAATACTCTTGTGAGATAGAGAAAAGCTCACCCAATTGTATAAACAGGGAGTGGAGCTATTTCATGTTATTAAGACTAGCATAGAAGTTTTGTGGTTAAATTGTGAGGAGCCACAGTGATTCCTGAGTCAGTCCCACTGGATATACTCGACTGCTTTCTGGAGTAGTGCTGCTCTCTCGAGATTTTTCTGAGCAGGTTGAACTCATGCTGTTGGTAAAGAATTGAATTCACATTTCTGAACACAGGAATGAATTTTAATGAGTTACGAAAATAAAAGTTCAGTTCAACTGGTTAAAAAACAAAACGAAACCCAACAACAAAGAAATTTAATATGCATGAAGATACTCACATTTCCTTCCTAAAGCATGAGGGCATTCAGCAATGATTGTCACTCGTGCACTGTATGGTTTTGTGAATAAATCTACTTAAACATATGCTCACATTTACTAGTATTTGACTATTTTTTTTAATAATTAATTTGTGAATAATTACATTGCAGGTTACAATGTTGTAGTAAATATTCCCAAAGGAGCAACAAACATTGATATTCAGCAGCACAGCTACTCAGGGAAACCAGAAGATGACAACTACCTGGGTAAAATCCTCCTGTGTATAACATTGATGGATAGATTTGTGCTCTTGCCAGAGGTCCCCTCTAGACATATATTATCAGAAGTCTGATAAAGTCTTTAGAGCAAATATATAATTACATTGTATCATCATTTGCCTGAGTCTTTCTGTAGATACTAGTTTTCATAAAAATGAGTGAGACATTGTTAGGTTTCTAATTCTTAAATGTGTGCGTTCATTTGTGAGAGAATAGGAATTATAGCACATTGCATCATTTTGTGAAATTTTACTTTGTTGTGGCAGTGTTAATTAAAGCTCCACAAGTAAACTCAGGAATAATGCAGGTATTTGTGGTTTTAAATTTTGGAAGCATACACTTTGTTTACAAACAAAGCAATCTGATCTTCAGCAAACTTAGCAGTTGTCTCACATTTCACTTTTTCTATCATGTATGAGTATAAAGATCACATGTTGATAGATTTCCAAGTGTGTGAGAGGAACGAAGAATTCATAAGCACATTGTACTTTTCACAGTACTTATGTTATAGCTGAAGTGCCTGAGAGAATATTGGTACATATTTTCTTTCCTTCTTTTCTACCATTACCATCCTACTCAACAAACTTCAGAGTTTTCAAAATGTTTTCCTTGCCACTCATTGCCCTGTTGTTGCACATGCATCTCACAGGACACAGAAACAACCCTAACCCCCGACACCAGCTACCATTCCAAATGTAGTAATGCCTGAATAGCATGACTTTACTAAAAATTTTGCTTTATTTTTAAATTTAATTTTAACTTGTTATTCATCTTTGCTATTGTAATTTGGTTGTAATATTAAATTATTGTTATAAGTACTTAATAATTTACTTTTATTTTAAAGTTTACTTTTAAAAGCCATTTCACTAAAAGTAGCTCTAGCAAATACAAGAATGTGGGCTGTAGAATAGGCCAGAAATACAGATAATTATTGTTTCCTTCTACAGTAGCAGAACCTAACCAAATTTAAAAGTGATGACTGCAGTCAACCCTTCAGCAGAACAAATATTATTAAAGTTGTGTTGTAATGCAGAGAAAAATCCATGACAACTGCTCAGGTGAAAGTTACTGATGGTTAGGATTGAATTAATGTATCCAACAGTTTCTAATGCAACTTTAAAGTATTACACATGGACTAAAGTAGAGCTAAGTGTTGATGAGAAGATATATTATTAAGAGTTTTTATTGATAGAACCTTTTAATTAAATACATGCTTTATTTCCAATATTTTATTTTACTTATAGCTTTATCTGATATTCATGGAAATTTTATCTTGAATGGAAATTTTGTTGTAAGCATGTCAAAAAGAGAAATCAATATACAAGGAGCCATTTTTGAGTACAGTGGTTCAAACAATACGATAGAACGAATTAACAGCACTGATAGAATCGAAGAAGAGCTAACCTTACAGGTGCATGTTTACTTTTTTCATAAGTTTGAAAATTTGCTACGTGATCATTATATTCATAATTTTATGTTCAAATTCACTGAAAAACAGCTATCATTTTATCTCAATTAAGGTTTTGTGTGTAGGGCATTTATACAACCCTGATGTGCGTTATTCATTCAATATCCCAATAGAAGACAGAAGTGATCTATTTACATGGGATCCTTACGGACCCTGGCAAGACTGCAGCAGGATGTGCCAAGGTACTGTAAATTCTTTTGTCACCACAACCAAACACCTGATGGCATTTAGGAAGGGACTGGTCTTAAGTGCTCAGATTTTTTACCCCTACTTGTAGGGAAGAAACTCAGCACTGTCAGTGAACTTTAAGTGTACAAAGCCTTTAAGGGCAGAATGGCTTCTGATTTTGTTTTGCTCTTTACAGTATTATGCAGTGCAATTCTATATTCAAAACTGCATTTGTGTTCTTTTGTAGCCATAGGAGTGGTTTATAAAAAATAAAAAGTTGAATCAAGTTTAATGCATCCTTAGAAAGCAGTATTGTATATCTACTACTATGTATTAGGCTTCCATTATCCTGTTTCCAGATGATCACTGATTTGTCTCGTATCTTTCATATATATTTATTTGTCCCTTTTGGTTATCTGCTACATGGGGTGAACCTATTTAACAATTGTTATTTATTTTACAGTTTTTTAACTGTTTTTCTATAGGCCATTCCAGTGTAAAAATAAAACCACAATATGTATGAAGTGTATATCAAAAGTGTACGTACACAGATTTTTGATAGATACTCGTATTAGCAGGTGCTAGAAATGCCTATGTGATGGTGAGATTCTTCTGGTTTTGAGTCAGGCTGTAGACATGCTCATGTGCTAGAGAAGCAAAATATCTGTCAGCTGTGGTACTTCTCCCACCATTCCAGATATTTTACGTATCCTATGATCAAATTTTCTGCTTCTTTAAAGAAAAGGATCACAACCTCTAAGTTAACATGGTGATTTGAAAATTTGGTAATCAGCAAAGGACAGGTGTGATGCATTTGGAATACTTAGCCTGATGAGTAAATGGACTATTGGACTGTTGAAATTTTGTAGTTTTCTGGAAGTTGATACCCTCATGAGACCACTGTAGTACAGCTGGGAGATGGCAGGGGTGACTGGAACAAGGTTGTTCTCCACCTGGAAGGTAGTCAGCTGCACAAAGCAGCATGTTTGTGCAGAATGTGCTGTGTACGACTAGTGTTAAGAGGGTATCTCAGTTAAATTCCTAAATGATTAATGGAATCCATTTCTGTAAAAAGGCACTCTTATTTTAGCCCTTTGGTCACTTTTTTTTGGTTCCTTTTCAAGGTATTCGAAGAAGACGAATGACATGCATACATAAAAGTGATCATGTGGTAGTGTCCGATCAAAGATGTGAACTTATACCCACAGTACCAGAAATCTTTGAGGAGTGTAATACAGAGTGTGAATTAAGGTGAAAAGAGGTTCCTAACTGATGGAGCTATTGTGGTCTTACATATTTTTCTTGATAGAGATCGAAACAAAGTAATTCAGATCGCTTTATCCTCTGTCCCTCCACCCCTCTATACTTCCCTCATCCCTCCTGTCTCTCCCTCCTTTCCTCAAATCTACTGGTATAAATGTACATTATGTTTATACCTCTGAATCCAAGTAGAACTAGTGTATTTTTGTAATTTTTATTGGTAAAGTACTGAGTCTTTTGTTAGGATTTGAATCTGTTCTATATATCCTGGTGCAAAAACTTGTATTGCTGGGCAGAATTATACCCACAACTGGAACTAATTTGAAACAGACTTGTGTGTTTGCACTCCAAGAAAGCCCACGCTGAAGTGTTCAGAGGATGAACAGTTAGAATTACAGTTTACATTTTTCAAAGTCACCTAGGAGATTAAGACAAAGATCCTTTCAATTTAAAAAGATGTTTTTAAGCCTATGAGTCAAATTCTTTTATATTGCTTTGAAAATTCCAGTGATAACATAGATTTTACAGTTTTATTTGTTCCCTATAATGCTATCTGTATTTACATGACAATTCCTAGTACATTCTCTGAGTGCTTTATTCACCATGGTCTTATTTTTTAAAACCTAGTTAGCTTTCTATAACAGTTTATCCTTGTAGGTGGCACCATGTTGGCAAAAGCGACTGCACGTCGAAGTGTGGCCCAGGGTATCGGTCTGTAGAGATCCACTGCATGAAGTACTCTATTTCAAAAGGACTCAGTGCTCCAGTGGATGATAAGTACTGTGCTGATCAGCAGAAACCACCAACCAGAGAGCCCTGCCATGGTGATTGTATGTTAACAAGTTGGCACTACACAGAATGGTCAGAGGTACAAATAATTCAAAACCTTATAATTGTACCATTATAGTTCTGGTTAGTGTTCATATCAAATTTTTATTTCTATATCATTTTTTTAGCTTAACTAAAAGAAAATAATGTTTGACAAATACAGAGTTGTAGGGGAGCTACTACCAATCTTTATATTTCAACAGCTTCCTCATATTTTTGTAAGAAACTAGCTAAATTGTTTGCAGCTTGGTTTTAGAAGTCAGCAGAGAAGACCTGATGGTTAAAGGTGTATATGTTATATACAGTCTTAATAATTTAGTTCTGAGAGTATTTTGGAGAAAAGGAGTAAGTACAATTTCAGCTTTAATCTTCATTAAAGAGTTTTATCTTGGAACCACTAAACCAAGTGCCAAATTTATCTCATGTGAACATATTAGCAGCCTGTGGATTAAATGTAGGATACATTTGTCTAACACAATCATTAATGTCTTTCACCTTTAAGACGGACAGTGTATTTTGACCTGGTTTTATCATGTTGTGTTTCCTGTTTCATTATATTGTCTGTACACTGCAGTGTTCCAGGAGCTGTGAAAGAGGTGTCAGAACCAGAGAAGCTTTTTGTATGAACAATTTGGGTCGTCATCTTCCTGACAGAGAATGCCAGGAACTTCCAAGAGTTGTAACCCAGAGTTGCAATGAATTCTTATGTCCAAGCTGGTCTGTTAGTGAGTGGAGTGAGGTAATGAACCATGTAAAACTTAAGATGCCTTTGATCCTGGCCATCGATGTTAAGCTAAGCTGCTTTAAGTGTTTGGGTTTTTTTGTTCTCATTTTTTTGGGGGCACATGATAATAAAAATTCTGAAGTCCTAGGGTCTGGCTGATATACATCCCATATGTACAAATTGTGTGAGAACTTCTGAAAAACACACCTAGAATTTGTTTTTCTCTGAAATTTCATTACCTTAAAATGAGGTAGTGTAGTTAAGGTAAATCTGTCTACGGTAATATGCATACCTTCCTTTTTTATGAAGCAATGAGAACCATCTAGCCAACTGAAAAACAGAATTGTATCTGTTTTATTATAGATTATGTGGGTATAAAAGAATCATGGAGAGTTTAAACATCTTTCCTGTGAAGGCTGTGATATGTGCACTCATTTTAAACAAGTATTCTTTGTTCTAATGGAAATAAATTATCTGTACATTGTTCTCAAGTTTTTGTAGCTTTAGAAAGTTAAAGGTGATTCCTTTGTTTTAGCATTTGGGTTGATGTTTACAGGAAATGGAGAGTTCATAAAAGTGAACTAGTTTTGTTGGACTACTTCCATTCATGGAATATTTTTGTTATTTATGTGATCTTTAAAATCCAACAGATTACTAAAAGAAAGTGAAGCCATTAGTGTAGATCTATGTCCTTACAGACTGATGACTCTAATAATTTTACAGTGTCCAGTGACATGTGGCAAAGGAACGAAGCATCGTCAAGTGTGGTGCCAACTTAATGATGAACAGCTGAGAGATGATTTCTGTAATCCAAATGATAGACCAGAATCAATAACGCCATGTGAACTTCATGAATGTGCATTTTGGCAAGTAGGGCCTTGGGGATCAGTGAGTACATTAACAATTCCTGACTTCTTGTTTTCTAGTTCAGACTATGAGTGATCACAAAACAATGTCTTTTAAACATTTTAATTGGATCTTAAGCAGTTACTTTAGTTGAATTGATTCACATGCATGTTTGCTCCTATTGGCTATCCACCCTGTAATTTAGGAACACCAACATATAACTTAAATGCCTAAAATAGTCATCGACCCTGAGCCTTAATATCAAAGATGCTTTTACACATGAATGTGTTACATCTCCAGAATAATGAAAATGTAGATAGCAAACCATTCAGACGAATGTGACAAGTAAAAGACCAAATATTTGTAGGTGCATGGGCGTATTTAAGTGGCAGCTTTAATTAAGATCATAGAAGAGTATATGCTAATAATAGCAGGCAAAAGGACTTAGTATTTCGTTGTTATGTTTTGTTTTGACCTTCAGTGATAAAAGACCTGCTATCTCTTTATGTGAAAGTACTGTTGAAAAATATGTCCCTGTGTGTAATGATGCTCAGCTAATGTATACCAGAGTGGCTTCAAAATTCTGGAAAAAGTGAATTAATTTGTGAAGGAAACTTTTGTCACCAAATAGATGAGAATTAATTAAAAAATAAGAAGGAACTCAATTTCATGCAGCTTTCATAAGATCAGGTTACTCAAACAAACAGAAGTGTTGGATTATTCATTGTTTCTTGGATGTTACTGAGAATTTATAACTGAATAGCAGCTGATATTTGTTTTTTTACATATCTGTTAGTAAAATACAGAATAAATATACTTTTGGAAATTAAGTATATTTTTAACTTAAACATTTGTTTTGTATACAACTTTCCTCATGCAATATTTTTTCACATTAGAGATAATTGCAGTGTTGTCTAACATAATGTTGAATTCGTTTTGAGTAATCTTTTGATCACGAGGTGCTGGTTTTCCATTCCTACAAGCTAAATCCAAAAACAAAATAAAAAAATCAGTTCAGTCCCATGATATAATTCTTCCGAATAAAAAAAAATCACTGTATATGGCCTGTTTGGAATAGCTTGTACAAGCAATTTACTACTCCATGTCACTGGAGCAGAGCTTTCCATTGCAGTTTTTCCACCGTACCATCTGGTAATAGCTATTCACGACCTGGGTTTTTACCAGCATCTGTGCTTGAACCACAACATTTATAGGCTGTTATTTATGTCATAATATTTTCAGCCATCTAACATTTTGGGTGCCTTCTTTGAGTGTGCTTTTGTCAAACTCTGTAGTGAAGGGAAAGACATTTAACAGCTGCAGCTAGTGATTCATTTGGAAGCCACCCCTTACTCCCTCCCCCTACACTTCCTCTACCCCAGGTTTTATTGCTGAGCATGACATTATATAGCATGGATTCTCCCTTTGATCAGTTCAGATCAGCTGTCCTGGCTGTGTTCCCTCCCAGTCTCCTGCCCACCTCCAGCCTACTCACTGCAGGGAGCAGAGGGGGAGAAAGAGAAAGCCTTTATCCTGCATAAGCACTGTTCAGCAATAGCCAAAATATTGGTGTGTTATGGACACTGTTTAAACACCATATGGTCTACCATGAAGAAAGTTCACACCATCCCAGTAGTCATTCCTATTCGTTCTAGGAAGGGTTTTAAAATAGAAAATGTAATTAAAAATTAGATTTGATTATAAATAGTGCTATTTCAAGTGTTTGAAATTATTGACTTTAACAGTGTGCTGTAACGTGTGGACGTGGATACCAGATGCGTGCAGTCAAATGTGTTACTGGGACTTACAGAGTTATTTTGGATGATAGCGAATGTAATGCTGCTACTCGTCCTAGAGATAACCAAGTAAGTTTAAAAATACCTTTCAGTTGATTGTACTTTTTAGTTAAAAGCGTATAATTGCAAGTGTTGTCTCCAGACTCTTCGAGGGAACTTGCAGGAAACAAGTTCTAAAATGAGAAAAAAAATACCGAAATCTGCTTTTTCCTAAAATTCAAATTTGGGCTAGGGAATTAAGTAAAAGAAGACTAATTTGGAGATTAGAGATTTGAAAATTTTCTATATGACTGAAGGGGTCCAAAGGCCTTTGATTATTTGCGGGGGGTGGGAGCTCCAACATGTTGAATATTATAAGGAGATTGCTTGCCTTGATGCTTTATAATAGCACCTAACTGGCTTGGTATTCTCTACAATTGTGCTTGTATATAGTTCTTAAAAGAACAACATGGTTACCTGAAAAAAGCTTCATTTTTTGGAATCTTGTCTGTTTACTTATTTCATCACTTCCCTTAATTTAAATCTATCATTTTTCAGAAGAAATGTTTTTAATATAGTCAATGGGTTTACCTTTAACTAAAAGCAATTGGTATCTTAGGTGCTATGTATTAATCTGTTGATCTGGCCACCAGATTGATACATCACATTTATATCCAGCTAAGCTGTTAACCACATACCTCTGTGAGGGCATAGTCTGCTTCTTGTCTCAAGAAGAGGAAAAAAAGGATTCTGTGGTCCAGAGTAAACCAGTCACAAGTTACCACTCCACTGATGGCTTCTTGAATAAGATTTCAAAATAAAAAAGCCAAGTAATTACCTGCGAAAACACTGGGTTTGGGCATGCTTTGTGTTTGGAATTGTGGTACGTATTCAGCTGTTGACTGAAACTGGGCAATTTTGTGTTCTCGGTAGCTGAAGGTATAATGGACAGGACAGCACAGCTACTCTCTTCATTCAGTTCTTTTGTACAGAGTGTGGCTGTGAAACAGGACACAGGAATGTCCATGTCCCTTGTCTCCAGCAAGTTGCCCAACACAGTTTTTTCTCAAAATGCAACTATTATTAGTTATTACTAATACAGTTTTAACATCAAATGAATTTTCTTTGCCTCTCGATTTGAAACAAAACAATTAAATGAAAAGCCTTTGAATAACGCCAGGGAAAAGTTAGAAGGTGGTATTTACTTGTTAACTAATGCTGGCTTATTGTAATGGTAGGAACCATTTGCTTTACATTTGGCTCTTCCAACATGTATATTTTGAAAGCTTTTTTTTCCTCACCCTCACAGGAGTGTGAATTACCCTCTTGTCCAGAAAATACAAAATTACGGACTACATCGCTTCCTCTAGTTCATGTGGGGAAGATGACCCAGTGGAGATATGGATCATGGACCCCAGTATGTAATGTAATGGTGGTCACATCTTGTGGAGCAGTCCTCCATTCCTTTACCCATTTTTCCATAAAGCTCCTATTAATATATTTTTCAGACTGAAATCTGCTTGGGATAAATTTTAAAGGAATTCTAATCTATTTTTTTTTAAGAATCTGTTTCTTAAGGAGGAGATAGACACTACCAGCAAATGGTGTGCTTCAAATCTAGCAAGGGGAAAAAACCCAGGATTCTAGGAGCTGGGATTCTGAGCAAAATAGCTTTCATATGATTGAGAGCGTGCAAGACAGTGTGTTTTTAAAATAATTGCTCAGTTTCCGAGTATGGAGAACATCCTTCAGTCTAAAATATGATTTAAATCTTTTATGTAAATAGCAATATGAAACAGTTTGGGTCTTTAAAGGTCTAATTTTACATAGTTTGTAAAATAAGCACTATAAAAATGTTTTCTACACAAACTTTGTTTAATGCAAGAGTTTTTGATTTTGATAGTGTTGAAAATTAGTTTTACTTGACAGCGATGTGAAAACTTAAAAGTATTGCTAAAAATATGGGTGTGTATGTTAATGTCTTGAGGTATTTAACAAAGCATATAACACAATTATATCTTTGCACAACTGTTTTAAGTAAACAGCAGTAAAGAGTGCATAGACTGAGACTACTCAGAAACTCTTCACTAGATCCACCTTGAACAACTTAGCTATAAAGGCATCAGAAGGGGCTCAATGGAATATGCTAATATAAACTAGAATGGCCAATAGATTGTGAATATCAGTCATTATGTCAGTTGATGTAAATATTGCATAACTGTGTAATAACTAAAATGTTCTGGAAGTTACTCTCTAATGTTTCTCCTGTTAATAAATAAAAACACAGTTTTGCCTTTGCAACTGTATAATGATTACATGTTATAGTTGAAATGTTACCTGTTCAGATACGCTGAATTGCTTCACAAGAATTAAGGCCATGCAAATAATTTCCAAGCCAATGGGAATTCTTAAGGCCTGAACCATCCAACAATATTTCACTTTCCTTCCTGAGTGCATGGCTCTATCAAAGTGAGATGGAAATCTGGTTCTCACTGCTTAATTCTAAAGTCAAGCTGATACTAAGATATGTTAGTATTTTAGATGCTTGCATGATCTTGTTTTGGTCTTCTCAAGTGCAATGAGCTTGGATTGTTCTCTGACAGTGCTCTGCATCCTGTGGGAAGGGTGATCGTGCTCGCTATGTGAGTTGTAGAGATGCTCATGGAGGAATAGCAGATGAATCTTTGTGTGCTCATTTACCACGACCAGCTGAAATTTCAAGCTGCTTCAGCCCATGTGGAGAGTGGCAAGTTGGAAATTGGTCCCCTGTAAGTATTAATTGTATTTATTTTTTTAATGTGTCTATTTAGATTATAGACCAAAGTGTCTGGTTAGAAATTGTGGCTTCATATGCTGTGCAAGTGTGATTGAAATTACATCCCTTGTAAAAGCAAAGTATACATTTCTTATTGTCAAAATCAAATATAAATGTCTTTGGTTATTAATTATCAGTGTTCTGTCACAAATGTTGGGTTAATTTTTGGTCAGTGCACAGTTACGTGTGATAGTGGAATAGTAACAAGACAAGTTATTTGTGTCAACTATCATCAACAAATCAACGAGAATTACTGTGATCCTGAAGGCCGACCTTCCAAAGAACAAGAATGTAACATGCCACCATGTCCACCAGTTTATCATCATGTTCCGAAAATACATGACCACCCAAGCCATTTTCCAGAAATAGGTTACCTTCCAATACACCATCCACAAGACAGTATCAACCAGTGGAACCGTCCCTCTGCAGGAGGATATCAATGGAGAACTGGACCCTGGGGAGCAGTAAGAGATTTTTTTTTTTAATATATTAATTTTTTGTCTCTCACATGTGTATTAACATCTCTAGAAATGTTATTGCACTACAGATTTGGTCAAGAGAGAAGCACATTCCTTTTAAAAAATGTTGTTGTTATTATTATGAAGAATATATTCAGTTAAAAATACAATTTTTCTGTGATCTCAGCTTTAAAATACTTCTACATAGTAGTAGTAATTTTTATTTGCAAATTTCAGTTTTGAAAGTTAACATTAAAAAATTATAATTCTAAGTTGTTTTAACCTACATATTTTGCATTTTTCTGATTATGCAATGGCGATACATATGTTCATATGTTTTGGTAGTGCTCTAGTACTTGTGCAGGTGGATTTCACCGTCGAGTTGTAGTATGTCAAGATGAGGAAGGAAGAAGTGCTAGTTATTGTGAGGAGGCAACAAAACCTCCAGAGTCAAGACACTGTGATTCTGGACCCTGCCCACGATGGAACTATGGGAACTGGGGAGAAGTAAGATCTTTTCACTTTCAAAGGGAAACATTATTTACCACATAAGCGTAAAAATAGTAACATAATTATTTGACTGTGAATGGAACTGAATACCATTTCAGCCTATTTATCTAAACTTCATTCTTTGATCAGATCCAGAACTGTAGTGTGAATATGAGTAGTCTAAATATATATCCAAAAGGAGTAAGTATTGTGTGAGGCTACGGATGTATAACGTATAATTGAGCGCTGCAGTAGTGTCTTGAATCTTGAGAAATACAAAGTTATTTTCTGTTACAAAAAGATGAATTATATGCAGAAAACCTCAGTGTAATAGCTAGTCTAAGAAAAAAAATGAGCACACAAAGCTATAAAGAAACTTTATTACTTCAAACTTTATAGGTACTGACTAGAATAACTGCAAGTAGTAGTATCTACTTGTTTGTAGTTACAAATAAGAAGTATGAAGATAGGATTATGCATCTAAAAGATGTGCCTGAGTTAGAATGCTTTGATGAAACACTGTATGTTATTGCAGAGATAACTGTTTCTCCATGCCATATAATGTCGTATCTTGACCATGCATTCTTGCTCAAACACTACGGAAGGAGTTAAAGCTGGTTGGTTTGGCATTCATTCTGATCTAACCTCTTGTGGATTCCTGCCCTCTTTTCTTATTCTTGATACTTCAATGGGAAAAGAAGAAAAATTGAGTGACTTTTTTATTTTTTGGTTTTTTTCCCTCGTTTTGGCCAGATCTAACCATTTAGTTCTTAAGGCCAGCCTAAATGTCCTGGTTTTTCTGTCCATAGCTGCAGACTTGGGATCCAGTTAATGCAGATGCTGCAGTTTTTGTCTAGTTGAGAATCCTCTGAATTACAGTAAACAGCTATAAACTATTGGAATATGCTCAATTTGGTCAGATTGTTTTTAATAGCTCATTAGAAATGAGAATTAGTATTTTTGTCTGGTATTGAAAAATTACAGGAAACCCAGAAAACACATCCTATAAGTATTTTACACTTGGTCTGCATAATTATAGACTATGAGAAAGTATGCCCTGTGTTTGTTTTTTCTCTCTTCTGGCAGGGAAAATTAGTTTTAGGACCAATTTCCATCTTTTCCTCTATCAAAGAGAGATATATATCCACATTTATTCTCACAAATGGTTACTTCTTCTTGATAGAATAGATTCTCTGTAACTGAGACTTTTTGTAGAAAATCACTTGATAAACTATAAAAATGTAGTTTGGCAAATGTTTTGGTGAGAGAATTGTTTTTTCATTATATGAGATGAGACTGTAAGTCCTGATTAATGAATTGAGTGTTCAGGGAATATGAAAACAGACATAGTAAATAATAACATGTACTAATTACTGCTGTATCTTTTTGGTTTAATGGTATGTGATGACTCTCTTAAAAATATTGCATGTAAAATTCTTTATTTCAGTGTACTCAAACTTGTGGAGATGGAATAAAGACAAGACTGGTGATTTGTCAGCTTCCTACTGGCCAAATGCTGGGTGATCAAAACTGTGAAATTCTAGACAAGCCACCTAATATGGCACAATGTAACGTGCATTCTTGCCCTGGTGATGTTTCATGGCATCGGGGACCGTGGAAATCGGTACGATAGCATTCACTAATATTTTTTCACTTTCTTGTTCTTTCTGTCACTCTATTTCCCCTTGCCTTTTAAAAATGATATTATTATTTTATTTGATAACAGTGAAATAATAATGCATGTGGAATATAGTCTATGTGGTTTTATTAAGCAATTGTTCCTGTAGTCATTGAATTAAATGGGAAACAGCCATTTACTTCAGTGGGAACAGTATCATGCTCTGTAAAACATCATAGAGAATATTTTTAAGATTATCAGAAATCATTGTAGCCAACAGCAATACCTAATAGTTGTTCTATTTTGAAAGGTTATGATTTGATCTGTGTTTAAATTTAAAAGTATATGCTGTAATTTATACTGTAGTATTATCTATATATTTATATTTGTAAAAAAAAAGCTTTTTAGTGCACAACTTTTTTCTAATAGTATATTTAAGTATAAAGTAGCTAACTCACACACATGTATATTACACTCTGTCATCAAACATTTTACTCCGTATTACATGTACATTTGTGTATAAAAGTTTATATTTGTGGTTTTAAAACAGTGACTAATTAAAGCTGTCTATGTATAATTATGTATGTAACTATAATATGTTATTGTCCACATGTCACTGTCTATTAATGTGTAAAAATGCCTACAGTAATAATCACCATTAATCTTTCAAATTGCCACTAGCAGATTATTAACATACTGAAGTAATCATAGCAAGCTCTACAACATAGACTACATTATATTTCCCAAGCTGTGAATTTGACAACTATATTTATTATTGTGCTCAATTTTAAGGAGAGTAATGGCAATCAAAGGAGGTTGGATCCAGTTCTGGTTCCATTGAAATCAGTTAAAAACCTGTCATTAACATCCCTGGGAGATGGGCTAGGACAACAGTTCTGCTCCTTTTTTTTTTTATTAGTAAACTTACATAATTTGGTTCTTTGAATTAACATGGAAACATTGTTAAAAATATTGTTCAATTTCAACTGTAGATAATTTATTAGTGTTTATATAATCTATTCTAATTTATTGCAAATAGACTTTAAAATGAAAGTTTGAATCAATAGTTTACCACGGTTATCTCTCTCTTCCACTGTGCAAAACAGAGTTTTGGGTTTGTGTTTGACAGACACCAGAGTATTGTTTTTAGCCATTAGCCAAATAATTAGTGGTGACTTGCTAATGCTTAATTAATATATGTACTTCAGGTGCTGAGATGAGCAGGGCATTCAGCACACAGTTGCCTTTGAACTCAATCTTTGTTTTCCTTTTAGATCGAAAGTTATTCACAGCCTGTTCCTTCCCTGAGTGATGCAGTTTGTCCTGCATTAATAGGTTACCTGTAAGCTATTGTAATACATTGTGAATGTTACATATGGCTTAGTTTTACAAAGATTTTCATGTTGGTTTTTATTTCAATTGACATAAAAAGCCATTTTAATCCTTCAAAAACTAAGTTTAGAATGGAATATAGTTATTAGATAGTTTGTGACCTCTGTTTTGTATATGATTGCAGGCTCTATGGTTATTCAGTCATAGTTTTAATTTCATCACACTGTGTGGTGGGTT